TATATTTTTAATAAAAATTAATTATAAAAAATATATTTATTATATCATTATCTTTTTTTATTAAAATAAAACTATTTCACATATTAAAAATAATTTTTTTATTGAGAATTAAATTCAATTTATTAGAAGTCAAATCACATCTCATCTATAAAAAATTTCTCTCAATATTTATTTTTATTTAAAAAACTTAAAATTTAAATTTTCTTTTAAAAAATCAAATTTTTTTTCTTTTTAAAATAACTGCTTCGTTGATGTATATGTCTTCTTTTTTCTTTTTTTTTTGGTGAAATGTATATGTCACCTTTCTATTAACACAGAATAGTGTTCTTAAAATAAATAAATAAAAAGGGGCAGATTTTATTTATTTATTTTATTCATTTGTAAGTGGTCCTATTTCTTTCCCTCAAACCTAGCTGGTGCCTGGTAGTAGGTTTGTTTTACCAAATCCTTGACTAAATTGTTGAAATTTTGCTGAAATTGGTTCGAGCTCTTAATTAATTATTTGGTTTTAGGTATATGCAAAATTGTTTTCTATTATTCCAATGATCTTGCATGCATGTTACACAAGTCAATTATTACACAAGTCAATTATGTGTCTATATGACACATCACACATGGTTGATAGACCCATATAATCTACTTAATCAATTTTTATTTACATTCAAAAAAATTTATGTGTCCCATTAAATCTATCCTACTTATTGTCATGTGTGTAAAAATTCATTTTAAGATAATATTGTAATAATCATTTTTCTTAAGAAGTAACCATGAAACACAATGAGTAGTTTATAAGAGTTTATTACAGCAAATAAATATATAATCAACTTAAGTAATTCAATTGTAATTTAAGTAAAAAATTTTGAATCTTAAGTTGTTGTAAAGTATTTGTGCAGGATAAAATAATAAATACTAATAAATAAATATTATTAATTATAATATCATATAAATTTATAATTTTACACTATATAAATCATATTAAAAAAAAACCATACTTCTTAACCATTTTAAAATATTAAGGCAAAAAAAAATTAAAACATTGCTATTTTTTTTTTATAAATATTATTAGTAGTTATATATTACAGTATTTTGCCTGAGCCCAGGTCCAAGCTGCTACTCAGTACTTTTACCGCAGTTGGTGATTTCTTTGATTTCTAAGCATAAGCCCAAAGTTGAAAAAGGAAAAGCCTATGCCCTAGGCCTTGGGCCCATGAGAAGTTCGGTGGTTTCTTTTATTCATGACAAATCTTAAAAACCAAACTTTTGGGAGCTCCACGACTCACGTACTATTGAGATTTTGAAACATTTTGATATCTAAAAATTGTGAGAAAGTACATTTGAGGAGAATATTTTGATATTTAAGTCAGTAATATTTAATATTTAAAAAAAATTAAAATTGAGATATTACAAAGAGAAGTATAATTAAATTATTACTTTATATGAAAATAAATATAAATATTTATAACCTTTATTAATTACACCAACGTCACTTGGCATTCCCTTATTAACCCAGTTGTCTTAAGCAGGGGCGGAGGTAGAAATTTTTTTCGAAGGGGGCAAAATACTCAAATTTTCAAAGTTTAAGAGAGATTAAATAATTTTTCATGTACTAATTTACAAGATTTTCAAATTACAGGAGCGAACGCCCCTCGCACCTTTTGGCTCCGCCACTGGTCTTAAGTCACGTGAATACATTATAATTATTTTGTTTACACTTTTGAGTTTTATATGGATTATATGAGTTTAAAGTTAATATTAGACCTATTTCTCAACAGACATGTCGAAGTTAATGTAGTATGAAAATAACATTCTAAAGCCAATAAGCAATTACGTTTTTTATATTTATAGAAAGAACTTTAACATGCTCATAATAGGATTTGTTGATGATTAATAAGTTAATTAAGCTAAACAAATTCGAGGACACTAAGTTGGCCAAGAATTATTTTTATACGCCTTTCGTACTTACAAACATCGATCCACAATTGAAAAAATAAAATAAAATATCTTTAATGAATGAGGGATAAATGAGGATTTTCAAATGAAATTTTTTATCTTTTCTTTAATTTTCACCCTTGAAGTAATATTTTTAAGAACAATCCGCCTTGTAAAAAAAGATAACCATTCTCATAATTGGCTATAATTATGAGAATACACAATATCTAATTATATACTACACTTAACTAAACTAAGACAAAAAAACACATTACATACACATACAAAAAATTACTATTAAATCAAATTACACAACAGATACAATAAAATGAGAAGTGACTTTAATAATATTAGAAATTGCTCTTTATTTAACTATTTTTATTTTAAAATTTAATACAATTTAAACTATAACATGGGAAAGTTCACGCATAGGACAACATGCCAAGGAGGCGTAAGATCCCAACACAAATAAAATCCCCATCCACAAAAAGGTCATTGGCCCATAGGTGCAAGTGAACATACAGACCAGTTGGCTAAGAGGCTGGTGCTATACTTGCAAGATTCATGAGACAATTTGACCATGCCAATATATTATAACATCAAAACACTAACTATTAGCATTTAATTATTTATGGTCTTCAGCTTGCTACTTTCCTACTAGTACAAAACATTTGCAATTATGCATCTTTGTTAGTTGTTATATGAAACATGGATTCCTCTATCCATAAACCCAAGTCTCTGTTTTTCATTTTCCTGCTCCTAATCTCAACAAATTTACTCACTTTCTTCTTCTCCTCCACATCATGCTCTCCTTCTTGCTCTCCTCTCCTTCTCACTACAACAACGTCTACTCCTTCCATCGACGTCGACCTCCCGTCCGAGTTCCTTTCCTTCACTTCCGGCCAACTCCTCCCCTTCGGACACAACCCCAACTTCGACTCTGACACCATATACCCGCCTGTAGGCCGCGCCTGCACTCTCTTTCCTGATGACCTCCGCCGCTACATGTCTTACCAAGTCAATGGGTTATGTCCTGACGATGAACTCCTCGCTCAAAAGCTTCTTCTCAGGGGCTGCGAGCCACTCCCTCGTCGCCGCTGTCGTCCTGCCGCTCCACCCCATTACGCCCAACCCCATCCATTACCCACCAGCCTCTGGTCCACCCCTTCCGATTCCTCCGTCGTGTGGACCGCTTACACGTGCAAGAACTACACTTGTCTCATCGATCGGAAGAAAACCCAAAAGGGATTTGACGATTGCAAGGATTGCTTCGATTTAGACGGCCGCGAGAGAAGTCGGTGGACGGCGACGGGAACAACAAGGGGCAGTCTCGATTTCACAATTGACGAAGTGCTAACCACTAGAGAACCGGGTACGATCCGGATTGGGCTGGACATCGGCGGTGGCGTTGCCACATTTGCCGTGAGAATGATGGAGAGGAACATCACAATCGTGACGACATCGATAAATTTGAACGGTCCATTCAACAATTTCATCGCGGCGAGAGGGGTGGTGCCGCTGTACATAAGCATTTCGCAGCGGCTGCCGTTCTTCGACAACACGCTGGACATAGTGCACTCGATGCACGTGCTTAGCAACTGGATTCCGACGACTCTGATGCACTTCTTGGTATTCGACGTGTACAGGGTGCTGAGGCCGGGAGGGTTGTTCTGGGTGGACCACTTTTTCTGTGTGGAGGAGCAGCTGGAGAATGTGTACGCGCCGCTGATTCGAAGCGTGGGGTTTAATGAGTTGAAGTGGGTGGTGGGAAAGAAGCTCGATCGTGGGGCGGAGCTCCGGGAGGTGTACCTGTCGGCGTTGTTGGAGAAACCATTAAACAATTCTTAGTGTTTTTTTTTTTTTCTTGAAAAAAAAAAAAAAGAAGTTATGGTCAACTCTTGGTTATTAAAAAATGGATAATAAATTGAAGTTTGATATGTTTTTTTTGAACAATTTGTAATTATTATTTTTTTTAAACATAACAATTTGTAATTATTTATCGGATTAATTAGGAAAAAAGAAAAGAGTTATGTGAGAATCGAACGTGTAACTCGGTGAATAGGTAGAAAAACATTTTGAAGTTTGATATGTTTGAGTCCAAAATGGTAAGGCTTTTAATATAAGTTATTAATGCTCTATCTTTCTTCCAAGTATAGCTTGTTTAATATTTATTTATATAATATAATTGTTTTTGTATGTAATGTAATTTTAGATAATATTTATGGTATATATAAGTGATAATTAGGACTTTTTTTCTTATACTTAATTTTTGTTGAGAAATTTTATTTAATTAAAAAATCTAATTATCATTTATATATTATAAAAAATAACATGGAAATATATGTGAGAAAGTCAATTGATTTATATTTTGAAACAAAAGGGAGTATTATTTTTCACATTCAATTTATAGCATTATTTATTGGTACTAGCAAAAAATTAAATCTTCAAAACAAATATTATAAAAGAAACCATGTAATATGTGAAGGCCAAATTAGTTCTTGTACTGGTTAAGAAAGTTCAATTTAGCTCTTGTTCTTCTATTCAGTTCATTGAAGTTGTCCAACTTATATCAAGGTTTATATTAACTTTGATTATTTAGAATTAATTTGATTGAATTTGGTGACATGAGATTAGATTTTAGATAAATCAAGAATAATTGTGACAGTAAGGTTTATTTATTTTTTTATGAGAGTAAAATTATAAGGCTTACAAGTCAAAGTTAACAATATCTCATGATTAGATGTAACTCAATTATTAGTGTCAATTCAGTAATTATTATAAATAATTGGAGAAAATGTGATGTGGGTATGCAACCAATCTAACATGAAATTAAAAATAGGATAAAAAAACACATTATGCTCTTTTCTCAAATTAATACCATAAAAAAATTTTGCTTAATCTGGGAATGAATAAGAATAATACAAGTTAGAAGGCTTAATTCCAATACAAGATTAATATTGGACTGAATTGAACCTTCTCAGCAAGTATAATGGCTTATTGGTGTATTTCTCCTATAATTAATTTATTTGTCATAAAAATAATTAATATTGTTTTCAAATACAGCACTTATTAAACCGTTACAAACTGAACATATGTGCGGTGGTGTCCAGAACTCACCGAAGACTGATGAGGTAAGAAAGATACCCACTTCCTTATTGCCCCACAATTCATGTGCCTCGTTTCCATCGCTTCAGTCAAACTCCAATTTCAAATTCTGAAACCAAACCCATTTCCAAGATGAGTTCTTCAAAATCCCCATCCCAGGTTTGAAGTTTGAACACAAACTCTACCATGATTTGAGTTCTTTGGGCAATATTATGATAGTGTGCCTTTTTTCTAGCATTATTTTCCTATGATTGTGCAGGGTGAAGTGGAGTTAGATCAGAAGGAAAAGGCGGCGGAGTGGGTTGAAGCATTCTTGCAAAGAAGTTTCTTTGATTGCTGTTCACATCATCCAGTCCGGAAGAATGAGAAGAACAGATATTGCATCGACTGTGATATGTCTGCCTGTCAATATTGCATCACTTCTGGCATCCATAGGCATCACAAGATACTCAAAATCTACAGGCATGTCTACAAGGATGTTGTATCGCTTGCTGCCATGGATAGGTACATTGACTGTGCAGCCATTCAGCCATATAAGTGCAACAAACGGCTTGTTATAGCCCTCAATCCTCTGCCACACTGTGGTACCATGTCCAATGTTGATGCATCATGCCATGTCTGCAACAGAAGATTGGCTGAACCCCATCTTTATCGCTACTGCTCTATCTCTTGCAAGGTCATATATGTAGTTGGCTGCCTGTTGTTTTCGTTTCTTTAAAAGTTTTATTAAATCATACTTTCATTTCACAGGTCATTGCATTTGAGAGAAAGTCAAATGAGTTATCTTCGCCCTTCCTCTCCATCCAGTCACCAACCAAAGACAAAGAGAAGCAAGCTGAGCAACCAAAGCACAAAAGAAAGGGCAATCCTCAGAGGGCTCCCTTTTTCTAGACGGTCTAATTTGGCCTTAATTTGGCTTTAATTTGGTATGTATTGTCATTGAACATGTAATAGAGAAAGAGGAGACAGTTCTAGTTTGTCTTGAGACAGGATGTTGCCTGACAATCAACATATACATGAGAATCATCCTCTACCTATCTATGCAAACTCTGAATTTGCAACTCATGGTAATGGTAATCAATACAGCTAGGACTAACATAATTCTCATAGATCAGATTAGAATTCCAGCAGAATTCATTTGCAATAGAGTTCATCCAATATTCAGTTTCTGGGTTCAACAGCGAGTCATCAGAATCCACATAATGGAAGGTAGGTTCACTCCTTGGCTGCACAAAAGAGGTGCAGCATCCTGGATACACGAACAGAGGTGCAGCACCCTGGATACACGAACAGAGGTGGGACAGCCTCTGAATGCTCAACGTCACAGCACTGTGTGTGATGCACACCCCACAGATGTCACATGCCACCATTCTCTCTCCATCATCATCCTGAGCCCCACATTCACAGCTAACCGTCCAATTATCAGCTACACCTTCATACCTCAATTTAGGATTCAAATTAATCCCATGCCACCTACCACAATCTCTGTACCTGACTCAACTGCTCCAAACAATACGTCTCCATCCTCCATTTCTTCTAGGCACTCAATCTGTCACCACAACTTTTTCCATGATACAATAGGTATCCCCCAGTGTATTTGCAGCTGCTTGTTTCAGCTCTGATACCATGGCATGCAATCAAATTGTTGTCAGTTCTCCAGGTGGTAATTTCCATGTCAGTTTATTTCCAAATCAAACAAACTTGAGGTCACTTGGCAAAAGAATCCTAACAATTGGTTATCTGCATCACTTAACGGCCACTCCTTCACAAACTGTTTGCTATCCAGAACTACTTGAATAGCATAGTCCACCAACTCTGATTCTAGATAGTTCAAGAGAAAATTTGTATGCAGATAAAGTATATCGCTGTAAACATCATTCCCAGGGATTGCTGTGGGAGTTGCAAGAGGTGATGGATGCATCACTAGTTCCAGTTCGGTCTTCTTAACCCCAGCACAAATGTCATCAGAAGTATACTCCAAAACTCAAGATGAATTAACTGCACGTCCTACCACATGACATCCAACAATAGCATTGTTCATCGATTTCAAAACATAATCCAATAAGCCCACATCACTAATGTGCATCCTTGCAGCATCTCTGAGATCTTACCGAGTCATCCCACCATGTCCAGATTGTTCTCTGTGTTCTTTCCAAGCATCTACAATCATCTCAGCAGTGAATTCCAGCCATTTTAGCTGGCCATCTGCTGTCCATATCGGCAATTATAATACTGAATCTTTTACACCCGGAGGAAGATTCTTCACTCAAAGCAGCCTTCTTCACTATTCCACTGTGATGTTTGGGGGCAGAAGCTGAAGTAGCCATAACCAATTTCTGCTGCAGAGGGGTACAGAATTTGGGAGGCACCATAAACCGAATTAGGTATCTTATTGTGATCAATTGGATCTCACTTATATCTCGATAATACCGGACAAGTTTGATTTGTATGCATTGATCTTTATCAGTGAAATCATGAATGATTGAGTTCCGAAGAGCTCAGAACATCAATTGCTCTATCATAGTGGTGCTTTGTAATCCCAAAACTTCCATGACCAAACCTGTAGCACCATCTCCCAAACCTTGGATTCTCTAGGCTACTCCATGTAGCAATCTAAGATCCATCCATACCACACTTCTTTGACAAATCCTTAGCCGTGATTTCCTAGCAAAATGAAGAAATCATAAGAATTCAACATTGTTTAGTATTTACAAACAAACCCAATTCAGACAAATCAGCAGGTATAATTAGATGATTCTTTCTCTTTGAAACAAAGTGGTAACTCCAACCTGAAAACCAGGAAGAAAACCCCAGTTGCCAGAATCAAACCCAGAATCCAGAATCCAGAATCCAGAATCCAAAATCCAACCTAGATAATAAAACCCCATTTCCCCATCCAAAAAACTAAAATTGGGAAATCAAGAAACAAACCCTAAGCTGTACATATGCAGTGATCACAATAGGGTTTTGACGGATTGAAGAGGACAACAAAGCTTTTATTTTGATGAAAAAGAAGGGAGCACCAGACGTGCATTCCCCTGATGCAGTACTACTTCTGCTCAACACTCTTAGGAAAATCGTTATGTTATCACAGAAAGCGCTGGTGGGAGCGATGGGGGAGACAGGATCAGAGAATGTGTGGAAGGCGAACAGCTCAGCCATCTCTTCCTCTTCCTCTTCCGGTTGCTCTCAAGAATCGGGATAGACATCATGATTCTTGAGAATTCTCTTCAAGATTTATGGGGCTTATGTTGTTATTGTTGACATACTTGATGAGCTAGGGACCGAACTAGCCAACTCCATAGGAGGCCTATACATACACTGCGATGTAGCAAAGGAAGCTGATGTGGAATCGGCTGTGGAGCTGGCAGTTGCATGGAAGGGCAAACTGGACATCATGTTCAGCAATGCTGGTATTGGTGGCTTTGGAGGCAGCATAACTGAGCAGGACAGGGAACAACTGAAGCAGTTGATGTCGATCAATCTGCACGGCATGGTGCATGGAGTGAAGCATGCTTCTTGAGCCATGCTCCGCCAACATATCAAAGGATCCATCATATGCACAATGAGCTCTGCAGCCCTAATGGGAGGCCTGGCATCCCATGCCTACTCGTTGTCAAAAGCAGCCTTGATTGGACTGGTGAGAACATCTGCGCATGAATTGGGCAAGCATGGAATTTGAGTGAATTGCATTTCACCTCATGGAGTGCCTTCAGGGATGCTGGTGGATGCATACAGAAAGTTCACAGGAATTTCAGATCTAATGATTGAAGAAGTGA